CAACATTAGTGTTGGGACACTGATCTATACTTAGCTTGAATTGAGGGTTTGTCGGAGTCACAACAGGCTTTGAATTCGACATACCAAACTTTTCGAGAACCTTCTGTAGGTATGCCTCTTGAGATAAGCATAATTTCGAATGCTTTCTATCTCTCCGGATGTCAATCCCAAGAATCCTGGACGCAGCTCCCAGATCCTTCATTTCGAACTCTTTATTGAGTTCAACCTTCACCCTCATTACCTCTTCGACATTGTTGCTTGCTATCAGAATATCATCCACATAGAGCAACAAAATAACAAATGAATTACCCGGTCGAAATCTGAAGTAAACACAGTGGTCGAACTGGCTTCTCATGAAACTTATGTGTGCCATGAACTTGTCGAATCTCCTATTCCATTGTCAAAGGAGATTATTTCAGTCCATATAAAGATCTATTCAGTTTACACACATAATCTTCCTTCCCCCTTTCGACATACCCTTCAGGTTGCCTCATCAGGATTGTTTCATCTAGATTACCATACAAGAACGCAGTCTTCACATCCATCTGTTCCAGTTCAAGGTCGAACTGGGCCGCCATGGCAAGCAACACTCGAATGGATCTGTGCTTCACAACAGGAGAGAACACATCATTGAAGTCGATACCTTCTTTTTGAGTGAACCCCCTAGCAACCAATCTTGCCTTGTTTCTCTTCGACGTCACTCCTTCGATTCCTTCCTTAACTTTGAAAATCCATTTACAGCTGACTAACCTGGCTTTAGCAGGTTTCTTGATCAGTTCCCATGTGTTGTTATCATGAAGAGATTTCATCTCATCATCCATGGCCTTCAGCCATTCAGTTTTATTTCGACTCCTCATAACTTCCTTATAGTCTCTAGGTTCTTCATCTAGAACCTCACTAGCAGAGATTAAGGCATAAGCTATAAGATCTGCATACCCAAGTCTCTGAGGTGGCTTGATGACTCTCCTCGGCCTGTCTCTTGCTAGCAGGTAGTCATTATCAATCTCCTCATCTTCGACAACATCTTCTGCGTCTTCTTCGACTTCATCTGGGGTAAGCAATTCAGCATCAACATACTCCACCTCAACAGGAATCTCTCCCTGTTCCAGCTCTTCGTCAGCATCATCAGTTTTCTTGAAAGCCATCTCTGCTTCATTGAAAACTACATCTCGACTGGTGATACACCTTCTGTGACCTGGCTCTAGGCACCATAGCCTATAAGCTTTGACTCCTTCAGGGTATCCCATGAACATGCACTTCAGAGCTCTAGGTTCGACCTTGTCTTGCCTAATATGAGCATAGGCCACACAGCCAAATACTCTCAGTCTGTCGAGACTAGATGGATGTCCCGACCAAACTTCTTCAGGTGTCTTCATTCCCAAGGCAGTCGAGGGACATCTATTTATCAGGTAAGCTGCTGTCGAAACAGCTTCCGCCCAAAACACCTTCTTCAATCCAGCACTAACCAACATGCATCTAACCCTTTCAAGGATTGTTCGATTGAATCTCTCAGCTAAGCCATTTTGTTGAGGAGTACCTACTACAGTCTTATGCCTTGCAATCCCAGACCCAACACAGTAACTGTCAAAAGCTTCGTTGCAGAATTCAAGGCCATTGTTGGTTCTCAACCTCTTAACCTTTTTGCCAGTCTGAGTTTCGACTAGAATCTTCCAACTTTTGAAATTCTCAAAAGTTTCATCCTTCGTCTTCTGAATGAATATCCATAGCTTTCTGGAATAGTCATCAACGATGGATAGAAAATACCTTGCACCTGAGTGTGAAGGATTCCTTGCAGGCCCCTAAAGATCAGCATGAATGTAATCCAGGGATCCATGTGTTCTTTGCTTGCCTTTGTTAAACTTCGGCCTACAGGATTTACCAAATACACAAGATTCACAAAATTCCAACTTTTCGACTTTGTCACCTCCTAACAGGTTCTGCTTCCCCAATTCGACCAGGCCTCTTTCGCTGACATGGCCCAATCTCATGTGCCATAATTCTGTCTTCGACATAGATTTCCTGGATGCAACATTTGTCGAACCACTTACAACCTCAGCCTCAAGGGTATACAAGCCTTGTTTCTTCACGCCTCTCAAGACTTCCTTCGACCCCTTCATGACTCTTAGGATACTTTTCTCTCCTTGAAAAACATATCCTTTTCTGTCGAATTCACCAAGAGAAATCAAATTTCTCTTCAAGTCAGGTACGTACCTGACTTCAGTCAATAACCTTATTGACTCATCATGGAGCTTGAATCTCACAGATCCAATACCTGCAATTTTTCAAGATTTGTTGTTTCCTAGCAGCACAGATCCACCATCTTGATCACATAGCTCCTCGAACAATTCTCTGTTTGGAGTCATGTGCCAAGTGCAACCTGAATCCATAATCCACTCTTTCCTCGAGTTGCCACTTGAAACCACAAGAACATCAAATGAGTCGAAGTCATCTTGAACAATGGCTGCATTGCCATTACCTCCATGATCTTTCAGGCGTTCAGGGCACACCTTTCTTATGTGACCCTCCTTCTTACAGTAATAACATCGAATACTAGATGTTTCGCCACTATAAGACTTCTGTTGACTTTTACCTTTCTTCTTGTCGAACTTACCATCCTTTCGTAAGAATTTTCCCTTAACGGCCACCGTCGAAGGTTTATGCTCCTTTCGTTCGTTCAAGTCCTTAGAATACAAGGCTGATTGAACTTCTTCAAAGGTCGGGGACTCCCTTCCATACAAGAGAGTTTCTTTGAAGTGAGCATGTGTTCTGGGCAAAGCACACAGCAGCAACAGTGCTTGATCTTCATCATCGATCTTCACATCAATATTTTCAAGGTCAAGAATCGGCTTGTTGAACATATCCAACTGCTCAGCCAACACTTTGTCTTCACTCATCTTGAATGAATATAAAGCTTGCTTCAGGTATAGTCGACTCACCAGAGATTTGGTCATGTACAAACTTTCAAGTTTCACCCATAATCCCGATGCTGTAGTCTCCTTTGATACTTGTCGAAGAACCTTATCACCAAGGCTCAACAATATTGCGCTGTGGGCTTTCTCGATCATGCCCGTCTTTTCTTTTGCCGTTAACGCAGCGTCCATGGCTGCCTCACCCTTCAACGCTTCCAAACAACCCTGCTGAACCAATAGGGCTTTCATCTTCAAGCGTCACAGACCAAAGTCGTTCACTCCGGTGAACTTTTCAATCTCATACTTTGTTGAAGGCATCTTCTCCACGCTCACCGCACCAATTTGTTGTGAATCGGATACCTTTAAACAAAGTATAAACGGTTTCTTTCTTATCAAGAAACACACAAGGGTTAGGGTTAATAAAGAAGACAAGGTAAAACAACAAGGAACAACAAGGATTGGTTATTAAACTGCTATTCTTTCCTTTATCTTAGAACAAGATTTACAAGTATACAAGAATAACAAAATAACCCCTCTCCCTTGAAATTAGGATTTTATCTTCCTATTTTTCCTTATATCAAGATTGAAAAACTAGTATTCTATTTATAAGAAAAATAGCACACTAACCTAATGAGCTTTTTAACAATTACCCATTACAAGCCAACTTAGGGTACAAGCTAACTTAAACAATTGGGCTTACAAGTATGACCCAATTCAATATGCTAACAACCCTAGCAATATTGACTAATGCATGTTAGAACAAACTTCGACTACAACACACATTACTTGTGAACAGACTTCGACTATACTAGAGTTCGATCCAATATCTCACAAAATTTATATATAAAAATAATTCATATATTCTAACCGGTTATTAAAATCATGGGTCAACCAGTTTGTTATTTTATAAAATGGTTATAAACCGGTTATATTCATTCATAATCAATTTTATAATTAGTTTTGATTTAATTATATTTTAAAATCGTTTTTTCCTAAAAATTTTAGGTGCCCTCAACGATTTAATAGTGATGCCAAAAGCTTTACGGAAAAAAAATCCCACATGAAGACAGGAGAGAGCTTTTTTGTATCGTTACCAACCAAAATCGTCTGAACCAGAATTTTGTTAATAGAGTTAGTTTTACTATGAATTCCAAATTTTATTAATAGTGAATGGCAACTTTCCACACTAAATTAGCTAGGAGAGATCTGTTAGAATTATAATAATGAAACTAGTCCGTCATAGAATTCGGGTTAGAATTAAGACCAACCTTCTCCTTCAGCCAATTCCAAAGAGACCTACCAAACAAACAATGAAAATAGAGATGATGAATATTCTTCTCGGCAACAGTTGCATAAGCAACAGATGGAGGCTAACGCAATCCCTCTCTACAAGACCTGCTCATTTAGCCTGAATAAGGAACGCAAGTCCAACCTACCATTAGAAAAAGATTTACAAGTCTCCAATTTGTTATAAAGTTTGTAGGAGTACAACAAATACTTTCTCAGCAGTAGCATCGGCCAAGATTACATATTAATGGAATAATTAATCATACTATGTATAATGGATTTAGTTATAAAGTTGGTAGGAGTACAACAAATACTTTCTCCAATTTGTTTTCTTGTACTTTATTCAATATATAAAGTTTTTTTTTAAAATTTTGTGTAGATGTAAGGCCAATTATTATGCAATTTAATAAAACACACGACATAAAACAAAACAAAAAACAAATATATATATATATATATATATATATATATATATATATATATATATATATATATATATATATATATATATATATATATATATATATATATATATATATATATATATATATATATATATATATATATATATTACAAGAACCACTTATTAAATAAATAAAAAATCTAAAACAAATACAATTTTGTTTGGATAACGACAACGTAATAAACCTAAAATGATTTGTCACACCTTATAACAAAGGGTGAAAAAGACAGTTCAAAAAATGAATGGAAGAAAATTATAAAGGGTATCTCACTCTTTGTCTCTTCTACAGAACCTTTCCTTTAAAGTGCAGATAGCTAGAGGTGTGAGAAAAGGTATACAATATGGATATAAGTAATAGCAGAGGTGTGAGAAAAGGTGCATGGACATATGAAGAAGACAAATTACTAAAAGCTTGTATTGAAAAGTATGGTGAAGGAAAATGGCGTTTAATTCCACAAAGAGCAGGTATACAATAATGCTGTTCATAAACGAAAACTATATAGTATTATTTAGTGTAATATTTTTATATTATTTTGTTATAATATTTATTGCATGCATTTGGCAGGATTGAATAGGTGTAGGAAAAGCTGTAGACTGAGATGGTTAAATTATTTAAACCCCACCATCAATAGAGAACCTTTTTCTGAGGATGAAGTTGATATGATTCTAAGGTTACACAAACTTCTTGGGAACAGGTATATATGCTCCCAACTTTTAAAATGTATTTTAAAGTTTCAAATAATTTACTATTTATCTTTATGTATCTCAAATTTATTTATTTGAAAAATTACACCATTGAACAAACTTTTATGCTTAGATCACTTTTGATAGGCTATATTTTACTATTCAGCACTACAATTAGATACAAATTAAATAATTCGTGTTAATTTTGATAGGCTAGAGAGTGTAACAATCATTTACTATGAAATGAAGTCCAAAACTTTTTTAATAGTCAAGTAAAACTTTAGATATTTTTTGGGATATTCTAAGAAAGTAGAGAATGATATGAATACTTTCTTTTGGAATGATTTTTGAGCGGGATCGATTCCTCCTAAAACGAAACTTCATGAATTTTATCTGATTGATAGTACTAATTCTGATAGATTATTGGGAGAGATTGAGGTAATAAAGGGAATCACTTGAGGTAGTTCGTCTATTGGAGGAGACCTTTCCTTTGCTTGAGAATAGGCGTTAGTGGATATATTTTTCCTTTTTCTGATAGGAGATCTCACTCGTTTGACGGTGATTGTTTTTGGTGGAAGATGCGGAAGGAAGTGATATATACAGTCGCTTGTGCTTATAACTCTCTCATTCAGGATAAGTTATGCCACTCTCCACCATTGATTAGAAGGGATTTTGATTTTTCTTCTATTTAGGTTAATTGGGTTCCGTACAAAGTAGAAGTCTTCTCTTGGGAACTCCTTCGTAATAAATTTCCTTTCTCGAGTTAATTTAGTGAAGCGTGAAATTCTCCTGAGTGATGTAGGCATACCATGTAGTTTGTGGAAGCATTGCAGAGTCGTCTTCTTATTTATTTATCATTTGTAATGTTGTTCATATTCAATGTCATAAGATTTTGAAGTGGTTGGGTTAATCTTTTATTGTTAATGCGGATACGTTGTAGATTCTTAAGGCTTTTTGTACCCTAGGGGCCTTTACTAAAATAAGAGGTTTATTTTAATGGTTTGTCATGTCGTAAGTTATGTAGATGTTTCATAATGATTAGTTTTTTTTTAGGGTAAAGTTGTGAAAGTGGTGGACTTGGACATTTTGATCAATAAGGTTTAGAGTGTCTCGTTCATGTTGGTTTTAGATGTAGTATTTTATTTGATGTATTTTTATATTCTTCATTTCTTAGATAAGTAACATTCTTGTATTCTTCTTTTCTTAGATGGTCATTAATTGCTGGCAGACTTCCCGGCAGAACAGCTAATGATGTGAAGAATTATTGGCACACACACTTGCGCAAGAAGATGATTTCAAAAAAATTAGATGAAAAGAAAGAAAATAAGAAACATAAGGAAACCATGAAAACTCATGAAGTTATTAAACCTCATCCTCGAACTTTTTCATCTTATTCACCTTGGTTGAATGAGAAACAGAATCTTATGAAACCAATAGTGACAGTTTCAGCTAAAGATGTTCATGTTGCTAAAGATGCTAATGTTACTAAAGATAATATTGCGCGACAAATTAATGGTGATGGAGATTGTGTTGCATCCCCATCTTTTGGAAACTTGACATTGTCAGCCACGTGGTGGGAAAGTTTGTTGAATGAGAGCAATGCCAAAATTGGCTCTTGCTCTTTATTGCAAGAGAGAAATTCAATTTTAGAGTTACCAAATATTGAAACAAATTTTATCGAAGGTTCTAGTTCTTTTGGTGATTTCTATTGGGATTTCACCACATGTGGATTTAATTCACATTTGGATATTTAAACTAGGTTTTGAATCTCGTTGTTCAACAAACTTTAAATTGTATTGTTCTCATTGCATTATGTTAAATTAGATGTTAAAGTTAAAATCATTGTTTGGTAGAAGTTAGTAAGGATTTAAAGAATTTACATATGATGCAGGGTTAAATGTGATTCTAAGATTTCTTAGGTAAATTGGCATGAAGTGTTTAAACTTAAAGGGAAATGGGGTTTAGGAGATTGTGATCTTCAACTAGATAATTTAGCTCTGTTGAGTAAAAGGTTGTGGTAATTAATCTTAGGTGATGCGGGTGTGTAAACGGATTATCTATCAACCAAATATGAATCCTGCATTATTTATTCTTACTTGGGGGGTAGATCTCACATCTCTCGTTTATCCTCCACCAAATGGAAATATGTCACTCTGTTAGGTTTTAAAGTTAGTGATTTTTCAGTGATGATCGGCGCTAGACTTTGTAGGGAGGACTACCTTTTGATCCCCCTCAATTGCAATTGGGATGGTGCTAGATGCATTTGATGACAAGAATAATTCTGAAATCGGATTAGTCGGTTCAATGGGTCGGATACTTGTGGTGAAAACTAAATAATTTTTTTAGAGTTTCTTAGATCTGGTTTGTAGTAGGTATTAGAAAGAAAGTGGGAAAAGATCCCCTTACCTCTTTTTGGGATTATCATTGGGATGGATCTACCCCTTTTAGTGTTTGATTCCCTTACCCGCTATCAATGTACCAAACTTTCAACAACAACTCAGATATATTATGACGTTTGTAGACCATTCGGAAAAGAAATAATGAAACAAATAAAATCTTATCTCGAAATACCCTAAAGGAACAAAATAGCCCAATCTGTCAGTTCGTCTATTCTTGTGAAATATAATTTCTTAGTCAATCATGTTAAAATTGTTTATAGAGATTTTTTTACCATAAAAATTACACTAGTAACCTATTCTTTACAAAATTCTCTCTGATAGCTAGATGGATAAAATAAAAAAAAAATATCGTGGAATTTGCGTTGAGGCTAATATTTAAAAAGTAATCGGCACAATAACTCCATCATTTATAAATGTGCGTAATTATTAAATTGGAAAAATTATAAATACTGGTTCTCTCGAGCCATTGGTTTCTCAAACCATGAGGAACTAAACAAGGATTGGAGAAAGCTTTGACAACCAACAAACTGTCAGTTTCCATCCAAAACTTGTGTCAACCATTGCGAATCGCAATATAAATCACATTCAAAACAGTCGAGAATTCTGCCAAGATCGGAGGATCAAAACCTAAATCCTCTGCAAAAGCATACAGAAAATCACCCTTCGAGTTTCTAAAATTCCCTTCACAACACGACTCTTTTGTTGTGGAACGAAAAGCTCCATCACAATTACACTTGTACTATTCAGGAAAAGGAGGGGACCAATGTACCTCAACAATATTAGGCGCCCTCGGCTATCTAATAGTGATGCCAAAAGCTTTAAGAAAAAGAAAAAATCTATCATAGAGATAGGAGAGAGCTTTTTTTAATCGTTACCGACCAAAATCGTTTGAACCAGAATTTGGTTAATAGAGTTGGTTTTACTAGGCTTAAGATTCTCATGAATTCCAAATTTTATTAATAATGAAGGTGATGGCAACTTTCCACACTAGATTAGCTAGGAGAGACCTGCTAGAATTATAATAATGAAACCAGTCCGTCATAGAATTCGGAATAGAATTAAGACTAACCTTCTCCTTCAGCCAATTCCAAAGAGACCTACCAGACAAACAATGAAAAAAGAGATGATCAGTATTCTTCCCGGCAACGTTGCATAAGCAACAGATGGAGGCTAACGCAATCCCTCTCTACGAGACCTGCTCATCCGCCGACATCTTCCGGTGAAAAATCCTCCAAAGAACCAAAGACTTGATAGGAACGCCCAGTCTTCCTTGCAATTCCAAAGGTTCCATTTATAAGAACCACTTATTAAATAAATAAAAAATCTAAAACAAAGACAAGTTTTTTTGCATAACCACAATGTAATAAAGCTAAAATGAATTTTCACACCTTATAACAAAGGGTGAAAAAGAGAGTTCAAAAAATGAATGGAAGAAAATGATAAGGGGTATCTCACTCTTTGTCTCTTCTACAGAACCATTCCTTTAAAGTACAGATAGCTAGAGGTGTGAGAAAAGGTATACAATATGGATATAAGTAATAGCAGAGGTGTGAGAAAAGGTGCATGGACATATGAAGAAGACAAATTACTAAAAGCTTGTATTGAAAAGTACGGTGAAGGAAAATGGCATTTAATTCCACAAAGAGCGGGTATACAATAATGTTCGTTAATTTAATATATTTTACTTTTCATAAACAATAACTATATAGTATTATTTAGTGTAAACTTTTTATATTATTTTGTTATGATATTTAATACATGCATTTGGCAGGATTGAATAGGTGTAGGAAAAGTTGTAGACTGAGATGGTTAAATTATTTAAACCCCACCATCAATAGAGAAAGTTTTTCTGAGGATGACACTACAAGAAAAAGGAGATTTACGACACTTGAGTTGCGACAGTTATCACAAAACCGTCCTTATTCCTGGATTGCGACGGTTGTCACGACAGTTAGGGTCAACTGTCGTAGATTTTTTGCGACAGTTATCAAAAAACCGTCCTTATTCCTGGACTACGACAGTTCTCACGACGGTTTGAGCCAACCGTCGCAAATTTTTTAGGCATGTTGTATAAAATAATGCGACGGTTACCAAAGAACCGCCCTCTTTCCACACTCGCGACAGTTAAGACGAACTGTCGCAATTACTTTAGCCAATCATAATCACTATTTTTTTATTCCTTTAATTTTTCACTTTTTTCTTTCATTTTTATTTTCTAACCTTTTCAATTTTATTAATTAATTTAATAAATAACTATTATAATTATTATAATTTTCATGACAATGTAGCTTAATATTTTTATCTAAAATAATAGTAAAATATTTTTTGTTTTATTATATAAATAGTTAACTTTTATTAAAATTAATTTTGATAACAATATTAATATATATATATATATATATATATATATATATATATATATATATATATATATATATATATATATATATATATATATATATATATATATATATATATATATATATATATATATATATATATATAAATGTTTTATGGAGATTATAAATACATTATAAATTATAGATTAAAAACATGTTTAAACTTTAAAAAAAAATATTGCCTCAGAAAAATTAAAAAGAAACTAAAACTTTAAAAATTAAAAAAATAATGTTTTCTTAAAAAGTTAATTAGGGAAATCATATAAGAAACTAAAAAAATTACGGTTACGACATTCCTAAACCGTCGTCACCGTAGTCACACAAAAATTAAAACAATCATCGCGCACGGAAGTATTGAAAGTTGAAATTTATTCACTACATAAGTCTTTTCATATTCTTCTTCTCATATCTGAAAATCTTGAAACAACCCAACCACACCACCAATCCTAAACTCATCCGGCGACACCTTGATGGATCTTCTACATCTGTCTGAACGTTGTTGCATCGTTGTAAAAATTCCACATCACCGGTCCTAAACCAATCTTGCCAGGTTAGTATTCTTAAACCCTAAATCATCTTCTCTCTTTCTCATTTGTAATAGGTTTCAATTCAAAATTCCCAAAATCAATATCTCTTTGTTTCCTTTCTAATTCATCCCCTGCTTTTGTCTGTGTTGCTGTTAGGTTTAATGATTCAGACTCTAAATTTTTATGCAGTTGTTTATTTGATTAACATAGAAAAGTTAATCCCTTATTAGAAGTGTATTTTTTAGTTCATTTTAGGATTTGATGTAATTGTTTGAGTTCTATTAGTGATGACTTGAATCACATTATGATATTGCTCTATGATTGATGACTATTGTTGTGTGTGCAAGTTTCATTCAGAAGGGAAACAAACCCACTATGTTGATAATAAAATTGATTGAAGTTTACAATTTTAGGATTTTGTTTCTTTAAAATCAGTCCCTCTCTGCTGAAAATGGTAATATTGTTGATTTTCTTTTTGATGTAAAAAAAGGGCATTACAGTTCAAAGATCCGACTAAGTTGAGTTGATAATACAGCGTAATGAGCTAGCGAGTGATAGTCTCAAGGCATTAGTCTTGCAGCAACATCCACCAGTGTTACAGGCCTTCATTCATAGCTTTGATTGTTTTGTTTTAATTCTTGTTTTGATTGCTTTGTTGTATAAAGACAACTGTTAGAAGTTGCTTAAAGTATGTTTCTTTTGATTTGGGCTGTTAATCGTGGTCTTAATATGATTTTGGACTCTTAATTCATTATATGGGTGAGGATTGGGAATTTCTCTTGGAGTTTGTCAAATTTCAATCATAGCAGGTTAGCTGGTGCATCAATAAGTGATGAACATATGTGAAGTGATGCTTGAAATTTATCGTGTGTTGATAGCTTGCATCAGCTCTGATTCTTGATCTAGTGGTTTTAATTACAATTTGGTAGCTTGTGTTAATACTTGATAGCGTTTTTTTAACATTCTTAACTTTCTTCTAATTGGAAGAGAAAAAGACATTTCTTTCATAGTTCTGCAGGTCTTGTTTTTAATATTTATGGTGTAATGTTTAAGACTGTTTTTGGGTATTGTATTTCCTTTTCACTTTTTTGTAAGATGATGTTTCTGAGATTTTGTTTTGTTTAATGATGTCTCACTCATCCTGTGCAGGAAGTTCTGGTTTTCTAGTACACTGATGGCTAACCCAAGTAGCAGATCTACACCGACAATGTCCACAGACTCCTTGGAGCAGAAGGGACAAAATATTACTGAATCAAATGCAAGCATAATTCAGTGTCCTTCAAGCCAGCAACACCGTAGCTCTTTAGATGGCCCAGTTTCTATCCTTTGGGATATTGAAAATTGTCCTGTTCCGAGTGATGTACGCCCAGAAGATGTAGCTGGTAATATAAGAATGGCTCTGCAAGTGCACCCGGTGATTAAAGGAGCT